ATATGCGAAACATATGCGAAACCCACTCGAAACATATGCGAACCGTATGCGACGCATGCGCGAAACATGGCACGAAACGCATGCGAAACGTATGCGAAACAAATGCGACGCATGTGCGAAACATATGCGAAACATACATGACACATATACGAACCATGTGCGAAGCACATGCGACACCTATTCAAAACCTACGCGGAACATTTGCAACACAATTGCGAATCATATGCGAAACATGTGCGAAATATTTGCGAAACGTTTACGACGCATTTACGAAACATATGCGAACCATGAACGAGACATGTGCGAACTATGCGCGAACATGCGCGAACCATGTGCGACGCGCATGCGAAACATATGCGGAACATGCGCGGCGCATGTATGAAACGCGTCCGAAACATATGCGACAAAATATGCACATATACGAACCGCATGCGAAACATGCGCGACGCATATGCGAAACATGTGCGAAACATCTGCGAAACATGTGCGAAGCGTTCGCGAAACCTACGCGGCGCGCCAACGAAACAAACGCGAAACACATGCGAACCATTTTCGAAACATAGACGCGGCATATACGAACCGTATACGAAACATATTCGAAACGCATTCGAAACATATGCGAAACATACGCGAAACATATACGAACACTTTACGAAACAAATGCGAACCATTTACGACGCATATGCGAAGCAACGTGTACGAAACATGTGCGAACCGTATGCGACACATATGCGAAACATACAGGAAGCACGTGCGAACCATGCGCGGAACATGCACGAACCACATGCGACACATATTCGAAACATATGCGAAACATGTGCGAAACATATGCGAAACGTATGCGACACATGCGCCAAACATATGCGACGCGTATGCGAAGCATATGCGAAACAGACGCGAACCATCGGCGAAACATGTGCGAAGCATTTGCGAAACCGTATGCGCAACAACTACGAATCATATGCGAAACACATGCGAGCCATGAACGAAACATATACGAAACATAATGGCACATATACGAAACATACACGAAACACATACGCGACACAAACGGAACATGCACGGAACAGATGCGGAGCGAAACATATGCGACACGCGTGTGGCACGTATAGGACACATGCACGAAACATTCGCGAAACGCATGCGGAACATATACGAAACATACACGAAACATAGAAGACGCATATGCGACACATACACGAGACATATACGAAACACTTACAACGCATGAAATAACCATATGC